AATATATATGTTTTTATTATTGCATGAAACAATGCAATTCTACTGTTAAAGTGGTATCTGCATAAAAAAAATATTCTTATGCGCTATCGGAAAAATATATAATTTAGTTGAAATCAATATTCCTGTCGTTATAAACGATATAGTTAACGTTTAATTGCTTTTCAGTTCGATAATATATCAACAAGATATCTATTATTTTTCTCTATGTATCTAATACGATTCCAAATCACTACCCTCATACTGTTTTGGAACCTACGCGACGGAAATCGACGGAATATAACGAAGACGACGATTACCACTATTTATTTCTTTAACAGAAATCTATTTTGTGGTGTTCAACCTAAACTAAACTATTGAACGTTGACAGAAAGGGCCAAGTTTAACCCTAGACCAAGACAAAATGAAAAGGTTTTGAAAACTTATACTTTAATGTGTAAATTATTAGTATACAGACCTTTCTTATGATATAAAATACGAAACTGATTAATAAAAGACTTTGTAATTATTGCTAGCTTACGGAACGTCGGTGGTTCTACTCAGGTGCCCGTTCGTGCCTGAAATAATGCACGGAAGGGCACCTGAGGTCTTCCTCCAACGTCGCGATATGACCTATACTGTGTCGATGTGAGGTAAAACCCAAAACAAACAAACAAAAACTTTGTAATTATTTATACATTTGCATCTTATCAGCCGCCATACCTTTTGCCAACTATTTACAAGTTACCTGTATGTTTTATCAGCAATTTGTTACAATTAATAGATTATATAACAATAACATCCAACGTGTAGTCACGTGATTCTTACAAAAGAACAGGGAAAGTTTGTTTATGATTAGTTTAAATAATGAAATATTATATGTCTCATAGGATATGAACAACCAAATGATTTAAAAGTGTCATTTTAAATATCATTCATGGTTTATCTTTCATAAAATAGCAACGCTTGACACTTAGACAACAGTAAAAAAATCCCTTAATTCCATGACTGGTCCATAGGGATACATTATTAATTCATTTTATGAAAATTGTAATTTTTATTTTGTTTGAATTTTTAAGATTATGAAAAATAATTGTGGTCCCTAATTGTTAAATGATTGATTTGCTTTTATATTCAGATTTAAAGGCCTTCTCCTACCATAGATACAATACTAAACTGTTACAAATATAGTCGCCGGTTTCTACCGGCGATTTTAATGAACAACTTTTGAATTTTTTAAATTGTCCAATTCAACTTTCAAGGTTTCATGTTTTTCCTAATATATATGTATCTTTTTTAGGATTCTTATGTTCATATTGGTACAACTGGCCATGGGTACTTAAAGGTGTTTTTTTCATTTATCTAAATATTCTAAAATTATATTAAAAAGGTGCTTGTCTACAGTTTCATTTATTTTTAAATATGATGGTACATGTATCAAAATAAATTCATTTATATTTACGAATATAGCAGTTTAAATGTATGTTGTCTTGTTACTCTGCCAGACGATTAATATTTCTTTCTCATACATGGTTATATCCATAAAAAAGCGAAATGAAAATAAGGAATTAGGATTTAAACGAATTCTTTGCTTTCATGGTATTTTTCATTCTAAAATGCATTGTGATTTGGCTCTACCGTAAATATTATGTATCATTGTTTTTATTCAAAATTTCATTTTTTATAAAACCAGTTGAGAGGTCGAAACCGACAGAACGACTATCACAAATGAGAACTCTGGTTGGAACCTGTGAAGTCGATGTTGGTACTTGTCCAGTTGGATCCTATTCAACATTTCGCAAGTTTTCAGAGATTTGTCCTGATGATGGATACATCTGTGCTGAAACAGAAACCCAAATCAAAGACTGCGGACAGTTCGGAGGCATATCGTATGAATACGTTAAACAGTGCGGGTGTCATTGGTACTGGTATCGTTAAAGACGAGAGTTGGAAGAACACTTGTCTTTTCTGACATCCACAGACGACCTATAAATACAGGTGTTAATGGGTATGTTCAGAACAACTATTAAATCGAGCGTTCGGCGGGAGGTCATGAGAACAAAAAAAAGAAATTACATGCAAGCTGTCAAGGTTGTTGATATACCGGAAGGTTTCAGAGGTCCGGGTTTGTCATCAAGAAATCAAGCCCGGTGAAATTCGATTCAACTGTTAATACAGTACTTTCTTTTTCATATTATTCACTAGACCCAGAAGCCGGTCATATAGTTGTCGAAATTCAAGCAAATTCTGTCATTAAGCGCCAAGGAAAGCTTTACCAAGGAACTGTCATTGCACGCATTACATTTATAGATACAGAATTTAACCCCGACACTATAGCTCCAGGTGTATTTCAAACTGCAGTTGAGAATTCGGTCGAACCTCTAATCACCGTTGGTGTATTTTCCTTTAGTTTTAAAAGTGTTGATGGAAAAGATATAATCTTTTCGGCACCAGTGAACTTTACTGGACGAGAGGGTATGATAATCTGGAAGCTTAAGTCTATAACCGGGTTATGGGAACTTGTTAAACCCTCTCAAACAAGAGGTAAACGTCAGGTTTCTCTTGATGACATACTGAGTATTGAAACTGACCGTTGGTACAATATTAACAAGATTCCTGGCGCTCCAAGATGCTACTTTAAAGGAAGAATATTTGATGAACTTAGTGGAATAGAGATCACAAGCAGCAGTACTGCATCATTTAGGCCAGAAACAACTAACATATGCAAGTTAACAAGTTTTACTTCGGCCGAGTATCTTTTTTTAAAAAAAGAAACTTCTTGTTTTAATTTTTTTATGTTTCAAAGTTTAAAACTCGATGCTTTACTTATGATTATACTCTCTTAAATATCTTGTGTTTGGGAGGAAGATATTGTTTTTTCCGTTAAGGTTATTTTTTAATGGAATATAAATACATGTACGTATGACACTTGATAAAACATGTCGATCCGTACCATGTCTCTTTCAAAAACAGACGATTTTTCTTCATTGAAATTCTAAATTTACGAATCTGTTTCGAAAACAATTCATTATGTCGGACATTATTTTTTAAAGCTGCTTAACATAGATATTCTCTTATATTTAAGGAACTGTACATCAATCAGGGTCATATCAGAAGTGATTGATACCGTATATCAGCAAAAGAAGGTCAAACAAACCCTGCAAAAATTAAAAACCATAGAGTAGAGGTATCAAAAGAAACACTGAAAGAAAGAAATGACAAACAAATGCAAGAGCTTCAAAAGTCAAGAAAAGAAGCTATTCAGGAAATCAGAAATCAGAAAACATCGCAAAGTCCTGGAACAAGTCCTTGCTGATATGGAAAAGGAATCAGATAAAGAAGTTGACTATGAGTGCGCTAAAATAGAGTCAGCACTCATAAAACAAAAGAAGTACATAGAAAGAGAGAAAGATACGAACACGGTTATAAGGAATTATCGCTTATAAGAAACTCATTTCTTAGTCCCAATTTAGTTAATAGTACGGAAAATTACTCTGGTATAACGAACTCCAAAATATTGGCTATAATATTCGTAAATAGATCCCGCATTTTCAACTTTTTTTATTTGCACGGATTAAAACTCGGGCGAATGTACCGTTTATCGTTGTATGTACTTCAATACATCTATTCAAATGAATTTGTATAATTTTCTATTTAGGATATTTTTAGCATGAGCTCTATTCACCAAGATAAAACGGTTATTTATTTATTTTCTTCAATAGTTTTGCTCGAGTAAAATAATTATAATAATTTGTAATCGGTTTTCAACATAAGCATGCATGCTTGCAAGCATGATCCATTGCAAACTGCAAAGTACGCTTGATTTTAATGAAAAGAAATATATATCTTACATTAGTAAAAGTTACCCTTAAATTATAAAAGAGGATATTGTATTGAATATAAAAGGAAGGAAAAATCGAAAATCTTGTTTATTCTAAATCATGGAAAGAAAACGAAAAGAGTTTAGAAACAAAATATTATATTTTATGTGAAATTGAGATAGGGAGTAAAACCAAAACTGAAATAGCAATGATTTTCAAATTCCAAAAAGTACGCTCTCGGGTTTTGTGTCTAAAATATAAATAAACGACTAATATTTCTATTTCTTAATCCAATGCTCTTCAAAAATGGCGGACAATGGTAAACAATCAGTTCGTTATATGTAAATCTGTTCGCTATAAAAAAAACTCCTGATACAAGGAACTAATTCGCTATATGCGTACAAGGAACTCCGGATATAAGGAACAGGTTTTGAATGTCCCAGTGAGTTCGTTATAAGCGGAGTTTACTGTAATTGTACCGGTAATAATTATAATAAATGTTTAAGATAGAAAAATGCGGAGTAAATAATGTGCCATAGTATACGTATCTGAGATAGAACAATCAATATGAAACTGTTTATGAGATAAATAAAAAAAACGAGAAAATATTAAGATACTGTGTCTGCAAAAGAAAAATATCGAAAAAAATATGTTTCTGAGAAAGAAGTATGCTGTATATATAATGTGTTATTGTATCTGAGATTTAACAATACCAAAGAAATACTATACTTTACTGTATCTGAAAAGATACCGAGTAAATATAAGGATACTGTATACATTACTATGACAAAATCGTTGCGTGAAAAGTATCTAACTAACTAAGAGATAGAACACTCCTTTTGTACCAGTATCTGAGATAGAACAATACCAAAAAAGTAATATATATAACAGTATCTTAGATAGAACTATACAGAAAAATAATGCCTCTATACAGAACAAAATGCGTTACTGTATCTGAGATAGAAACATAACGAGAAAAATTATATGCAATTGATTCTGTTTTAGAAATAAACCGAGTTTATTATAATTTTCATACGAAATCGTGTAGTTTATTAGAAGGGAGACAACCCTGGTATATTACTTCATTCATATTTTACAAATCTTCTCCCTTTACTAGTCAACATTTTCTGCAATCAATGTTTCTTTAAAACATTTTGATCTTTTTATTTCGTTTTTTTTTTGCAGTTTAAGAAAAGCTTTTGTTATCACAATTTTTAAAGAAGATATTTTAAACATCGCGTGTTTCCGCCAATTGTCGAGAAAAAGTCGAACATTTTAAAACCGAAAGAGGAAGTAGATAAAATAAGTTTATAAAATGGCGACGGATGGTTCAGATGAGATATTTAACTTTAAATGTACCGCTTGTGCTAAAAGAAATAGGAAAAGAGAAGCTGTAAAATACTGTGTTGAATGTCAAGGATATTGTTGCCAAAGTTGTGTCGAGGTTCATCAGGATTTTCCAGCTCTAGCTAACCATAATTTGTTGGATAAAGCGAGTTTTAAATCAGCAGGATCAACAAATGAATTACCAGCTATACCGACGGAGAGATGTGCTGTACACGAGACGAAGATTATAGATATGTACTGTCAGAACCACGACGACGTCGGCTGTACAACATGTATGACGATGGATCATAGGTATGGTTTAATATTGAAATGTATGATATGTTCAGATATAGCCTAAGCGGATGAGGTTTACACTATCACGTACTCACCACTTAATCTAATGATAAAAATGCCAAAAAAAATAAATAAAAGAAAACTTTTTGGTTTATACAGAATTTATTTTAGTTCGATTGTGTAGGAAGCTATAAGCTTATACACACACTTTCGGATCCGTTCCTGGAACCAACTAGTACTGAGTAATGAGTGTAAAGTTTCTTGCTCAAGGAAACAACGACTTGCCCCTGACGGGGTTTAAACCCACTAAACTATTTTGAGACTGTTAAGAAAAGTTTTCTTAATATATACATTTTGATCCAGTAATATATAGTTGATACCTTTTTAAACTGTAAATGTTAGATAATCGTATTTATCTAGAGATAAGATGATGATGAGATGTATGTAAATTTAGAATTGTGGATAAAACTATTAATAATGGGTGTAAAACTATAACTCCAATGCTATCTGCGATTTTGTTTATCTTTTTTAATATTGTAATCATGTTTAGATGTTATTAGCATGAAGAAAAATAAAGATTGAAAGAAATAATGTATTCTTTTTATCTTATTTCAATATTTTAAAATTCGATGTTTTATTTGTGATTAAACGCTAACGTACTAAGGATATATACTTAATTGTTAAACTATTATGGAGAAAGATAGTGTAAAATAGAACAATAATTAAACATTCCAGACTTTCTTTCCTTCCATAAAGATAATTTTTAAAATGGAATATAAATACATGTAAGTACACTTAGAAAAACATGTCAATCCGTACCATGTCTCACAAACAGATGTTTTTTTATTCTTCAATATTTACGAATCTGTTTCGAAAACAATTCATTATGCCGAACCCTTTTTTAAAGCGGCTTAACATAGATATTCTCATATTACAGGAACTGTGCATCGATCAGGGTCATATCTGAAGTGATTGATACCGTATATCAGCAAAAGGAGGTCAAACAAACTCTGCAACAATTAAAAACCATACAGGTATCAAAAGAAACACTGAAAGAAAGAAATGACAAACAAATGCAAGAGCTCAAAAAATCAAGAAAAGAAGCTATTCAGAAAATCAGACAACATCGCAAAGTCCTGGAACAAGTCCTTGCTGATATGGAAAAGGAATCAATACAAGAAGTTGACTATGAGTTCGCTAAAATAGAATCAGCACTCATAAAACAAAAGAAGGACATAGAAAGAGAGAAAGATAATATACAGAAAGTAATTTTGGATTTACAACATGCTGAAGGAAACCAGGCACAAGAGTTTGTATGTTCAAAGATTGCCTATAAACACATTGAAGGAAAAGAAAATCCTGATTTGTTAAATGACGAAAAAGCTGACGTACACTTATTATATTCTATAAACCATGACATCACTAGCTTTCTGAAACAGACGAAAACCTTTGGCAGTATTGCAAAATACCATGATCAACAATACGCTCAAAGGAGAAGTCTTTATACTGTCAAAGCTGAAAGGAAAATTAATGTCAAGGTACAAGGGGATGAACAAACGTGTTGTATATACGGTTCCATTTTAACAGAAGACAACTTTCTATTGCTAACTGACTATTGGAACACAAAAATAAAATGTGTTGACACCACAAAAGCGGTTGTAGTAGACCAGTGCCGTCTACCACATAGACCATTTGGTGTTTGCTGTACAAGTAAAAATGAAGCTGCAGTCAGTTTAAAAAACAGAACGATTCAGTTAGTTTCTCTGCTTAAACCGATGAAAATAGTAAGGCAGCTTAAGATGAACCATGATTGCTTTGGTATTGCTTTCAAAGATGACAAGTTGTTCATAACCGACAACAGAAAGTCGTTGTTTATCCACAATACATTAGGTGATCTCTTACAGACGGTATCAAAGGACAATTCTGGAAATGAATTATTTAATCAGAGTAGACTGCTTACTTTTAGTGACCATGGTGATAGAGTTTATGTTGCAAATTTTGCAAATAGTCTTATTTCACTAAATATGCAAGGTAAACATATAGATACATATAAAGATAGAGAGCTGTCTCGTATTAGTGGTGTTTCTAGTGACCACAGGGGCAACATTTTTCTGAATGATTATATCTCAGGAAATATTAAACAAATTTCACAAGAAAACATGTCAGAAATCGGCACGGTTGTTGGACCATCACACGGTTTGTCTAACCCTTTGTCAATCTGTTTCAATCATCAACAGTCCACGTTGATAGTCACATCGTTAAGTTGTGACGAAATAAAACTTTTTGATTTAAAATAAACACTACGATGACAGCAGTTCTTCGTTCGTCCAAAACTATGTAAAATATATGCTATGTAAAACGAGTCAATAGGGTGCTGCAAACAGATACGGTGTTACTTGTTCATTTTTGCTTTCATATTCTGCTTATGTGGTAAAGATTGTACTTGTAGCGTTAAAATGCTACTTTTTTGATAGAGATATAGCATTATTCAACGATACTATTGTGGTGTAGATTGTGGTGTAGATATTACTTTGCCAGTAGTTCTTGTATTAACGTACCTCTTTTTGTAGTAATCATACTACGTTGTTCAAACTTTTTATGTTTTATCGTACTTCGTTGATATTACGTTGCCCATACTTTATCCGATATAGTGCTAATTTTGCGGTTAGTTCCTATGTTGGTCATACATACTGCTTATAATGGAGCTGATTATGATTATGATGGTGGTGGTAATGATGATGATGATGATGATGATGATGATGATGATGATGCTGGTGATGGTGATGATGATGATGGTGATGATGTAGGATAGTAGCCGTGACGTATGAACAAGTGCATAATTTTAACCCGTACCTCTAAAAGTTCAACTAAGGAAAAATAAAAATGCGTTATCTGCTTCAGTAAAATATATATCTGAAAGGGGGATAGTAAGTAATACAGACTTTTTCGGTCAATAAATTAGCCCAACGTAGCTCAACAAAGTTTCCGATCCTAATTTCTACATACTTTGACTCGTTTCAAGAGTTATTAGTTCGATAAAAATAAATATCACCTTTGATGTTAACGTGTGGACCTCTTGCTTGTATTATCTAAATATCATTTGAACATATAATCATCGAAAGGATAAGAAATTCATTTGAATAGAGAATAAAAAGAAGTATGATAACACGAAACTCTCGACGGCAAACACTACACCATGTAATGACGTTTCGATACTTGTATAATAGCCTCTAATCTTAAAGAATGCCAATTTGTGAAACTTGATAGCTTTTTTCTTCTGCTGTTGTAACAAGATGCGATATTTGTAGCCATAAACATAACAATATATTTGTTCGAAGTCTAACTCACAATCTGACAAATCTTTGATATGCAATTATGAAAGCTTTGATTGGAGAGGTCATCAGACTCTCCACAGAGTGGAGAATGATTCCTGGCGGCATTCATTTTTTGCGTATCGAATTAAAGTTAACGAATCTCATTTAAAGCTTTAAATCATTTGAACCAATCTTTGAAAATATGCGCATGCTCCACTTTAAAATACAAATTAACTGAAACGAAAATTAACACCGAGATGAACAAATCGGTAAAAGGAAAAATCGGAAAGTATCATTTACGCTACATTTGACACTTCGAACAGTGGTTCATTTCGTTTTCAAACTTCCGCAGGTATAAATTTAATAAAGAAAACGTGAAATTCATCGGAATTATAAGAAGAAGAAAATTCCCCGTGTAATTCTGGATCATCCTTCTTACTCCTTTACACTGTATAAATTGATTATTGTTTTCCGAATAGCATTTTACTATTTCATGTTTCGAAAATTAGTAACATAAAACACTATATAGCTACAATATCATTAAACACTATTATATAACCGAGCGAACCGTGTATCGATGTTTTGCTGCTCCTTTATCTTCGGAACACCTCGCCAATTATTCCTAATGAACTCTTAGTCGTAGCCTGACGTAAATAGCCGGTATTTTGCTATTGTTCGCAGATGCAATTCGACCAATCTGAAATTCTTACTTTCCTGCCATTTGAACAATAAATCAAATCTTCCAAAGCTGCAAAAAGACCTCTCGCATGCTTCTTTTTTAAGAAGCAAAATTGTTTGATTACATTAAGTAACGAACGTAAAGGAAATGGCTATAACTTTGTCGGAAATGTGCTGACTACGTTCAAATGTGTTGAAAATGTGCTGTCTAAGATCATTTCAAGCTGATTCAAGTTTATAATTTTGACGTAGTTCATTTCGTGATGATGTAATCTATAATGTCGACGAAGTTCATTTTGTGTTTATTTGATGCTATGCTTTTTATGTCGGATACATCTTCGTTGAAGTTGTATTTTGCTGTTGGTGTCTTCATCATTTCCCTCATACATTTTTGTACAGGATGTATCCGTTTTTCTGCAAAGATAACCCCACCAGCTTAACAAAAAATGCAAGTTCATTTGTGTCTATACTATACTAAGAAATTTTGTGTATTGTTGATTTGAGTATTTTAATATCAATTTGATTTTTCGGCCGAAGGCCATCTGATTTCACCTTGACTTCCGCTAAAATTAACAGTAAAGAAATGAATATAGGCAGAATTTTCATTGGTCATTTTAACACTTATAGCCTGTTCGATTAATACTTTAGAAAAGTTTCCGTTATAGATAGAGGTCTGTTCGATTGCGCGATGGCAAGAAGTGTTGGGAAAAGATATAAGTCAGAATAAGTAAAAAAACACAATAATGATATTTTCTAGATGTTTCTAACAGCTTTTCAATAAATAAATGAAATCAAATATGACAGATCGCCTTTAAGATACTTTTGCGTTCGATTTGGTTTCTCTTCTAAGCTGTTCTAGTAATAATATTCTCTTCTCGAACCGGGCATAAGACGATTGAAACGAACTTTCGACTAATTTACAGTTGCAAAATTCTCCGTTGAATTAGTGTACAGTATCTACTAAATCTTTTTTTTTATTATAAATTCCTATTCAAATCAAATTCCATTTTAATGTAAGTAATATTGTTTAAATCTAAGATGACAATTAATGGGGAAAAACATTGCGGGTAAAAATGAACTTAAAAAAAAAAAAACTATTGAGGACGAATAAAATGTCCTGTTTGAGGTTGGCATGGTAAGTAGTAGCTTATTTTATGCAAGTTTCGGCCGAGTATCTTTTTAAAGAAACATCTTGTTATATATAACTATAGTTAGAATAATATCAAATACCGCAAACTGCGATTAGTCACTGCGAATTGAATATTTGCCAGTTGTGTGTACTGTCCATTTTTAAGTAGATGTGAATGCTTAAACAGGGTGATATATACTAATTTTACCATAACTGGCCAATACTTTATGGCTACTTTTGCAGACCATTTAAAGTAAATAAATATAGTAAAAATGTAACTAAGTTTACAACTCTAAGTCTATATAACAAATTAAATTTTTCTTATCATAAGCCTAAGATAGTAAATAATTTGATGTTTTATTTGAATTTTCGATGAAAATTAAACCATAATAAACCACTCTGCGTGAAGGATTATTTCTCCCAAATCGACCGGTGTATACATAAATACACACGCTACAAGCTAGTTGGATTTTTTATTTACAAAAGGATATAGGGTTATATGAACTGGACTGAAGAAAACCAAATATTAAACGCTCAAATTTTCATTTAAATTTTTATTTTGTATATATTTACGTGTAAAAACGGATTCGATACAGTGTTCTGGTTTAGGATTTTTTTGCACTGTGACATGACAAAAAGTTTGGGAGACGGTTCAAACGTTTTAAATATGGATTATTTGCAAACTTCATGCAGATAAAACAAGTTTTATTGAACATTTTGACGGTGATAGTATTGTTGATACACGTGGATTTTAAGAATGCAGTGAAGTAGGTATAATTAATTCAATTTCGTATAGTAAAATAAATACTAAACTGTACCATAAATTTAATGGTTAAAAGCTTTACTGCTGCTGAATGAAATGTGCAGTTTTCATTTTTTATGTTTATTACAATGTCACTTTCAACATACTTTCTACACATAAAATATACATTTTCTGTATTATGGACATGTAAAAATGTCTTTTGAAACACTTTTAGCCATGCACAATTGATATAAAATTGCTCTTGACAAGCTTTAGTTTTAAAAGGTCGGAACCCGATGTCAAGTCTTAACGCCCTTTACTTGTGATCCAAGGATCGCAGGTTCGATTCTTCGCTCCACCACAAC